AATGGAGCATTTGCAGCTTCAGGGAAGATATGGAGCAGAACAGAGATGGTGGAGATGGCTGGATATGGTGAACAGAAACTCTCCTCTGTGATCATTACCGGATCTCTTCTCTGCGACACTTCGCGTCCCAATCTTCACTCAATCGCTATTCCAGGTTAGTATTATATCTCTGCCTTTCTCATGCTTTTGTTCTTCTCCATGTGAATATGCTTACATGATCTTTACAGGTGCTACTGTTGCAATCAAATGCCACAATGGATCCAAAAGGAGATCAAAATGGATTAAGGCTGTTACTGATGAGTTTGGAGAGTTTGAAATCGATCTTCCTTCTCAACTCCACGCAATTCCAAACCTGGAAAACACGTGTTTTATCAAGCCAGTACATGTACCTAAGCTCTATAGATGTTATCACACCCCTACCAAAATACACAAACGCATCGAACTCGTTTCCTCTACCAATGGCTTCCGTGTCTACACCTCGGGGAAGATAAGGTTACATCAAGGACACAGTTCAAGATCATAGCAAAGCTGCTTTGGATCAACTACATTTTAACAAAAGATTTAAAAACTGAAAAAGTAGATTCTTGAAGATCACATCTTGTGAAAAGCATTTGTTTATATATAGTCCTCGATTGTTTAGCTGGCGCTTCAGTCACAAAACCAAGTTTGAGTCTCTCTACATTGTATTACATGTTCCCACAGTGTAATTAAGAGCATACCCTGTTTAAGTCATATGTGTAAAGACTCTCATGTTTTTGGTACAAAAGTAGTATGATCAGATTTGAATATAACAAATGAAATGTTTAGCAGCAACTGACCAAAATGTAATTTTCTGAGAAAAACAAAAAGGACACACAAAGCATGTCTCTAGACTTGCATGTAACAACTAACCATAGAAGACAAGATTGTGAAAGCAAGAGACAAATCAGGACTCAGATGTTTTGGAGTGAGTTTCAGAGAGAATGTAGCTTGCAATATCACCACAACAAGTAAGCTTATCTGCTTTTTCCTCAGGGATCTCAATCGAAAACTCTTCTTCTATAGCCATGACTATCTCAACCCTATCTAAGCTATCCAGTGACAAATCCTTCTGGAAGTCAGACTTCTCAGTAACCTGCAACTAAACCCGTGTAAGTTACAACATTCTCGCTAAAGACGCTTCGCTACACACACAAAGCAACAGTTTTTATACCTTAGAGGCGTTGGTTTTGTCGTACTTCTTCACCAGCTCAATAACCCTAGTTAAGATTTGATCTTTGCCTCCTCCTCCAGATGCTTCTGATGTGAAATTCATTACACCAATACTTCTTTTGAAAGCAGCATTCTCGTTCTGAAGTAGAGAAACCGGTCTGAAAGAAGCTCTCAGTCTCAAGTGTTTCAGGATTGAGCTCCCAGTGCAATGCATCTTCTTTCAAAGTAGAACTGAAAATACAAACACGAAGAAATCGATTTTAAAGTTGAGTGTCTAAGTTTCTAAGACAAATCCCTATTTCGAGCTTTACTCTAATCGTTGAAGGAACAAATGATTATGGAAGGAATCTAATTCAGTGTTCGTAAAAATTGAGTCTTTAAGACAAATTAAAGACAACAAATTTCGAATTTCAATTAGAAACCACAAAGATCGAACCCCAACACGAGCGCTCTTATTGAATATAGAAGCCATACCTGCGACTCTGCGTGTGGATTCGTAGGTCTTGTTCCTCTGAAGCAGGAGAATGATAGAGAGAGTAGTGTAGAGAGAGAAACTTGCAGTTTACCGGAAAACAGAATTGGGCCGAAAATAATATTGGGCTTTTGTAATATGGGTCGATAAAACTTTGATTTTCGGCCCAAAAAAGTTAATTGTGTTGATGCTGATCACTTCTAAATTTGGCATGTGTGATGATGTTCGTATAAACCATGTTTTATTTCCGATATAGTTAGGCTGCTTAATCTCCCAACATGGGGTATTAATAGAACAAACTTTATATGATAAAATAGTTGGTAATTAGGCTTATAAGCCTATATGTATTTATGGTTTAGTAGAGAATATTCATTTCCATGTGTCAACAAATATTTGATGTCCCTTCTTTGATGAATCAATAGACCATTATCATCAATGAAGGAATAATAGTAGTAGGTGATCCAAATTATTAAACTTGGGAGAAAATTTTTGGACGGGCAAATAAATTAATTTGTAAGATACCAATCTATCTTGAATATGACAACATGTGTTTAGAATATATCATTTATGTGATGCAAACTCGTATTCGTATATATTATCAACGGTGGGAATTTGACTTGTGAAAATTAGACACCAAGAAAAACAAAAACAAAAATGTGTTCTTTGAAAAGAGAGATGAATAAGTATAACCAAATAATAATTGGACGGTTTAGTGATTAATTTAATGAATAAAGATGAATAAAAAGTAAGCGTAAGAAAGTTGGTAAATTATTTGGATGCACAAGGAATGCCTTGTGACCTTGAAACATCTTCCACTTGGTGATAAATTATTTTAATATTCATTAACTACAAGAAAATAATTATTTATACTATACGGAAGCAATATATATGGACATAAAAATAAATTTATGGGATGCTAATCTTTATCGTCATCGTCATCTAACCATTCCTCATGTTCCTGCCCACTTTGATTCCCCTTAAGCATTTCATGCCATTTTCATATTTTAGTAACAACCTCTACATATTTGTAAAATCAAATTGTTGTCCATCTCTAAATCACATGTCCGCATCTTTTTCCATAATTTAGCTGATTAGCGACTAACCCTGCCTTGCCCTTTGTTTGATTACATTGTGTATACCTAATGCAAAAATGATATGAGATTTGACCTTTCAAAATCATTGTAAACATTAAAAAAAAAAAGTTAGGATGAATTAGTATAGTAGTAGGAAGAAAATCTGGACAAAATCATAATTTTTCTACATGAATAATATATTATCGCAAACATTTTTTCATATGAATCAAACCTCATAAACTATACCGATAGACAACAAAGTAGATTTGAAAACTAAATTTTACGGAAAAAAATGAGTTTTTGCCAAAAAAAAATATGAGACCAAATCGCATTTAAACTTGGATAATTTTATAATTGATGAAATAAGTATCTTAATTTGAGTCACTTTGTCTTTACTAATGATGGATTTGAAAAATCAAAATTGTCTATAAGGTCAAGATATTTTAACTTATGGGTAAAAAGGTTACACAAAACACACAAGTCACAAATACATTGGTAGTACCAAAAACAAAACAAAACGTCGGTTATTAAATATTTAAAATTACAGAGAAAGCAAATGACGAAAATGCCATCGTCTCCTACAAAGAGAAGAAATGGTAGCCAAACATTCCGTATAAAAAACAAAACAAAAAACGTAAGAAGAAGAAGGTCGTTTCTCTTTTCCTTTTTAGCGAATCCCATTTCTCTCTTCCTTCCTTCTACAACACAGAAAAACTCCATCATCCATTTCTTCTCTCTCTTTCTTGGACGAAAATCGCAAAGAGAGAGAGAGAGACAAGGAAAGGAGGGCCACTCGCCCTCTTGTTAAAAAGCTTCGTCTCCAAATCTTTTAGATTCCAATCTCGT